TTCCCTGTGTGAAACTGCATGCCAGTACCCTTTGAACAAAGCCGTTGAAATAGTTGTACATACCTTCCGGAACATTCTTTCACATTCCTGAAGTCAGTCTGGCAAATTCTGTTTTGTTCGAGTGGCAGCGTTAACACTAAATGTCACGACAGTTCATGGAGGGATTTAATATGGACATGGTGCTTCCTCAGCAAATAAACGGGTTCAGATCTTCTCTGGCGTTCAGTTGCATTACTGTTGTATTACAAACTGATGTTGCTGGACTTCTGTTTCAGCTAATAACGTGGATGATGTGAGTTCATTAACCATTTCGTTTTATTATCCTCGGTCTAGCAGGTGAAGTAATACCACTGTGCTATGCCTGTCACCTACACTTTCATTTTTGAAACTGTCGCTTTAATGCCTTTCGTTTCAATTGTTCTGACCTTTGCGTTTTGCTTAGGGAAAGAAATCAAATTTCATCTTCCCCCCCCCCAAACGAACAGTAGCTACAATCATAAATAAAAAATGAGGAAATAAACTATTGTGTAATTTTCGGAATTATTGAAATGCCTGAATTCAATAAGAACAAAATGTTTCTTTGTGCTTGTGTCTGATTTCATTTATGGAAGTTCTTGGGGTTCCTGAACTGTTAATGAAAGACCAAATTTTAGAAATGTTGAGGTATTTATTAACATTTACAATAAAATAATACTCGTATTTTCTTTTAACTAATAATTTAATTAAATGTTAATTATATCGAAAATAATAATGAATGGGGAATGACGCGTTTCGGGCAGAACACCCCGCTTTGCCATTAGTCACTAGAGGTGTAGTTGCCAACTCAGACAGGTCCTGACCGAAAGTTCCGAAATGTAACGATAATAGCCGCAGAGCAGAACACCCCGCTTTCCCATTAGTCACTAGAGGTGTAGTTGCCAACTCAGACAGGTCCTGACCGAAAGTTCCGAAATGTAACGATAATAGCCGCAGGGCAGAACACCCCGCTTTCCCATTAGTCACTAGAGGTGTAGTTGCCAACTCAGACAGGTCCTGACCGAAAGTTCCGAAATGTAACGATAATAGCCGCAGGGCAGAACACCCCGCTTTCCCATTAGTCACTAGAGGTGTAGTTGCCAACTCAGACAGGTCCTGACCGAAAGTTCCGAAATGTAACGATAATAGCCGCAGAGCACGCAGAAATAGCCGAGGATGCGAAGTGTACGTCAGTCAGCTAAGAATGAAAAGTAGTATGGGAATAAATTATTCGAATTTCGAGACGACTAATTTTTATATGTTTAATTTTCTCTGGTAGTTAATACATTTTTTACTTTTATACATCGGTTTATATATGTTTGCTGACGTTTTATATACATTTTATAAATGATTTTAATTTACATTCTGCTAATGATCGAAAATTTTAATTGTCTTTTGAAGAGGTTTAGTTGCTGTCACGTGCGACATGACATTCGACATACACAGCGTATCAGCTTTTCAATATTTCACGAATTTATGTACACGTATGCAAATATCCCACGTGTGCGTTACCGCAGAAGAACGCCTGAAAAGAAAGGAGCTTGCAGGCGTTAGAGTCAGGAGCCCCGAAGGACGAAACGCAGCCTTTACCGATGGCGTAATACATCACTGGATACTGTGGACCCTAGTTATTTCTGTCACGCAGCATTTTCAGTACTTTGACACTTCTCGCTATGAACGGATAACATTTAACGAAAGTCGTTAAGTCTTTGTTTGGAGTGTTTTTCGACCATGCATGGCCACGTTTCCGTAAGTCCATATGTCTGCGCATGCAAAAATACAGATTTTGATTGTGCATTGTGGGCCCGTAATATAATGAAGCCACTAAATATACTTCTGTCGCAGAGAGGAGTTCACGGACCACCATTTTGCGTCAGGATCCTGCATTTAGATGCAGTTCACTTGGAGGATTCAGGAGCCGACGTCTTAAATTTGTTGGGGCTTCCGACGAAAGCAGGGTCATCATCATCATCATCGTTGTCATCATCAACTTTGTAGAGTTAGGTCGTTAGATTTTAATCCTGTGAGTTAGTTTACTTGTAATGTATATTTTGAATTCAGTTCTGTTTTTGTCGGAATCACTGTTTTCACAAAATATTTAACGGCAGCTCCTGTAAGCTCGTTAGCACTATCACAAATTTCTGTGAAGGCTTCAACTTGAAATGGAAATGTCACGTGTTTAAATTGAATTAAGTTAGAACGACGCAGCCTTCTGACGAATTCTTGAATAAAGACGAATGTGTTATGTTGTGTGAAATTATCGTTATATTGACTTGCTATTTTAGAGTTAACTCTCAGATTCTATAAACGGATCGTAAAGTCCCAAGAGGCTGACTTTTACTGTGGACAGTATGTCTTAGTTACCCACTTTATGCAAATTCCAGAAATGGTATCCCCGTGCCTGTAGACACGAATGTGCTCGTAGTATCGTGTTTGCAAAGCTGCGCGTCAGTTTCAGCGTTTTAAGACGTGTTTCAGCCTCGCGCGCACATTTGTTAGTTTTGTATATAGCCAGTTTTAATCGATAATAATAATAACTCCCGTGTCCTGTAGTCCGCAAGCGAACTATACCGACCCAGCGACCGCCGCTTGTCGGCGAAGTTAGTGCCAACTTTAGCGGATAGAGGGGTGTCACGTGGTCAGCGCAACGAATCCTCACGGTCGTTCATCTCGGTTTTCTAGGCCGCAGCCGCCATGTCCTTGAAATAGCTCTTCAGTTATCCTCACGAGGCTGAGTGGATCCCGTTCCAGACCCACTACTTCTCAGAATCTGGTAGAGACGGGAATCGAACTCTGACCACTATACCACAGAGGCGGAATCGATAGAAATGAAACTGCAAAAAGTAATCTTAATCTTTTGTTATTTTTGTGAGCTTATAAGTTTAATGTCTGTTCTGGACGGTTTTCTAAAAAGCACTGCCCCCTTCACCTCAGGTTGCTCAAGCACAACCCGGCCGCCGCTCAGAAGACACCGTGTCTTGCACACTCCCATGCCCGGCTTAGAGGGAACGTCGATTATAGGCCCTTTTATCAGTAGGCACCGTATTTGAAATCACAGCAAGGTTTTCCAAAGTTATTGCTTGTTTACTAAATCAGCATTAAACCCAAAGTGATTAAGAATTCAGTTTGCCATAATATTTTAAAGAGCAAACTTAACGTTCTTTTATCGTCATTTATGAGCGTAGTAGTTGTTAAGGAGACTTGAGCCGTGGTTGCCGTAGCGCAGTTCCGTTGGATATCGGACGGAACGAAATCGGAGCACATGAGCGGCGATGTCTCTGTGAAGTTATCGTGCAGTAGTTCCATGAAGACACGAGCGAGCTATGTGCACAGGGATAGCTTGTGCGTGCATATGGGCGCAGACATTTTGCAGTAGCGGTTCGTGTTGATGTCAGTTTGTATCAAAATATCACGATTACCGAGCGTGGGAACAGAATGTAACAGAGAATTAGGCTGCACAATGGCTGCATATTGGATTCCATGGACTTTTGCTTTACACAAGGAAAAGCCTACAGACTGTAATTGGGCCGGTGCATGGACACGATGGTATAGTACACAGAAGAGTATCTGCCAGGGTCGTCAGGCTTTTGGGTTCTGTAAAGGCCCGTCCACATTGCTCGTGCTCGTGCGACTCACGAGTAATGTGGACGATATGAAAAGTCAGGAGACAAGCAAATTTTAAATTTTTAATTTAAAAACTATAGCCAATAAATTAAAGTACGACTACAGCCTATACACACTACGAGTAAGTATACGGATCCTCACACGCCGAAGCCTGGCGAGCAACTGAAGTAGTGTGGACGAAGATTTACGGGCACAAGTAAAAGCTAGACGAGTCTCCCGACGAGCACGAGCACGAGCACGAGAATGAGTAATGTGGACGTGTACAGTCGGACAGCGTTCAGGTAACCATTTTGTGCTAGCTAGAAATACAAGGATATCGCACTGGAGATCGGTTTCGTTGCAGTCCTTTCTTTTACTCTGTATGAAACAAAGTAAAGCAACCGAAACTGTTTTCTGGGATATAACATCACGTAGTTCTTTGAAAGTCAACCGACGTTTCGAAGGAACATGTCACCTCCATCTTCTGGTTCAATGAATAATCCACACAAGCAACCAGCAGAGCTCTGCTTGCCGCCTGCATTTACGCTGGTTATTATTCGACCCTAAAGATGGAGGCCATGCGTTCCTCCGAAACGTCGGTTGACTTAACGGAGTACACGGCGTTATATCGCAGAATGTATTCTTCATAATCACCGCTGTGAGAACCTCAAATCCTATAAATGCTACAGCAACTCGTTACCAGCCTATTGTGGAATGGTCTGTACTACTGAGAATACAAACAAAACAAAAAGAAGCTCCGTGGCCTGTAGTCCGCAAGCCAACTATACCGACCGAGCGCCCACCGCTTGTCGGCGAGGTTAGTGCCAATTTTAGATGGTAGAGGGTGTTACATGGTCAGCGCAACGAATCCCCACGGCCGTTAATTTCGGTTTTCTAGACCGGAGCCGCTATTTCCTTGAAGTAGCTCCTCAGTTATCCTAACGAGGCCGAGTGGACCCTGTTCCAGGCCCACTACTTATACGAAAATCTTGTAGCGCCGGGAATCGAACCCTAACCTCAGGATCTTAGCCAGGAACTCTGACCACTAGACCACAGAGGCGGTCCCGAATACACTAGCCTAAATGCATTAATCAGATAATCTGTTTTCGCATTTTTAGGTAGGGCCTTGTTAGTCAAACGTGAACTAGTTTTCTTTCGTAAGGACTCTTCAGTCTGAGGAATGTGATTGCGAGGTTATAGATTAAGGCTTTTATTGTCTGTGACTGTGTGGCAACGCTTCGGCTTGGAGGTGCCGTGCGGTTGTGACCAGAGAAGGTCGCACTGTCGGTGGGTGTGTCTGTCCATGTCTTCTCCTACCCTGCCCTGTCTGTGTAGGGAGTTGCATCTCTGTTCACTGTTCAACTCTGGCTGCTTTGTTCCAGAACTCGACCATGAGGCCATCACCGCCGACGCATCCGTCTTCACAGCCGTCCCCTCACCCCCAGCCCCCACCCCCGCATAGTCAAATGATGTCCAGCCAGGTGAGTGTGTGTGCTTCCACCCCGCTTTGCTTGCTGTTGTGAATTCCTACCCCTCCCCTGCATTGGCTTTATTTGGTAGTAGCAGTGCTGTATGTGTATTGGCATGTGCGGGGTTGGTACGGCTGCTTCAGATTGTGTCGCGTCGCACCCAGTCAAATGGGAATGAGACATTGGGGCACTGCAGTGGCCCTCCTCTTCGAGATGCCATGGCTTTTATGTCTACTGATGAGCCCATTTAAATGTTGCACTGCAGTAACTAGGGTTGCATTGGAGAAGCTCGCGTCGTGACGTAATGCTGACTGCGCATCCACTTAAGTGAGAAGCTAATATTTGAGCGTTGTACACGGCAATTTGTGTCAGTATCAAAGAATGCAAGCCGTATTTCTGCATTTCCGCGATGCCGTGGCGTGTATTACCTTGGCAGAACATGAATCAGAATAGTTTCCATTTGTAAATACAGGGTGATTCTAAATAATTTAGGCTCATTCTGTATAAATATTGGGCATCTGATTTTTTAACCTGAAAACATTTTGTCATGCAAAGAAAATTAGTGTTCGTAACTGAAACTTGTTGAGGTCACATTTGAACGAAGTTAATTTTAAAGCAAGAAAGAATTTGTAATTTTTGTATTAAATTATATACGCATTTATACGCTAGGGACGGAAGGTTATCTGTCGTATTAAATCAGCACAACGCTTGTCGTGAAATATATACATTCAGTTTCACGCCATATGGGGTCGGACGCAGCCTGAAGCAGTCGTAGTATTTAGAGAATGCAGTTTATGTACAACATAATTTTTTCTTTGTACAGAATCTTTATTTATGCAGACATAAAATAAGAACAGCTGCGAAAGAGATGTCGGAACGGTGTAAATAAAACTCTAAACAAGCGTTCGGCAACGTAACGAGCGAAAAATATCATAGGATTAGAAAGGAACACGATTTTCATTCATGCAAGATAGTGATGTAGGCCAGTTTATTCCGTTTTCTGCTTCCAGTGTCATGCAAATAGGAAATGTGTATGGAATGTGCACAGGAATACAGTTGGAGATCTCGCTGATATAATTTATGACATCAGCTAAAGGTAAGTGAGGACATCTGTGATTGGTTCAACTTCGTACTGACGCTTAGAATAGGGTGAATATTTTGTGAGCGTCATGTGTTGGGAAACGCTACTGGAAGCGGCAAAGGGATGTTATTGTCATATGTACGAGCGACTGTAGACAGGATTTGGATTGTTAATTGGATTTACTGAACACTTACAGATTGTAACTACAAGTAACTCTAACGCTATCGCTAATTCATACTTTGCAATTCACTACAGCACACACTTATGTCTTCAGAGTCTGCTGTGTGTTCACCGATTGCCTGGTTACGGCTTTTAACAAAGTCCTCTGCTTCCGTACTGAGTAGGTAAACTGGTAACGTATACAACAGCTGTAATAGACGTAATAGGGTTTCTGTGCTAGGTAGTTGCACAGTCCAGCCTCAAGACAGCCTAGGTAGCAAACACGCATGCGCATGTTGAATGGCTGGTTTTAGTAGTCAAGAGGCTACCGTGCTTGAAGGTATACTACCGAAGAGCATCGTTCTGTTGCGCGTTTTTTTTTGTGGGCAAAAGGACTGAATTCAAAGGATATTAGTAGTTAGTTAGTTAGTTAGTTAGTTATTGGAGGGGGTGGGTTTCCCCATGCACCGCGACCAGTTTGATCTATTGTGCTTCCCTCTATGATATTCTACCAGTCTCTATACCCTACCGATACTGGTGCTTACCATCAGTCCCGACCGAGCCAGCGAGTTCGGCCTCTACTGGCTTGGCGGTATCTATAATGCTTCCCCCATCTATCAGAGGCATTAGAGACTACTGTTGGGCGGGAAACGTCCTTGAATTTGGCTCAGTGACCTCCTTAGGAGATATGCTGTTCTTTTACGTGCCGTAAAGCTACGACACGAGACCCACGGCTTAAAGTCCCTCCCGGAGGACTTGTTCCCTGAATTTTTCCGCCCTTAAAATTTCCACGACCTCCGCCGGGTTTGAACCCGCGTACCACCAGTCATGAGGTGGGGACGTTACTTCTCGACTACGGAGGCCGCTTAAGGATATTAGTAAAGGAAAGATTCCTGTGGGAAGTGTTTGTCGCGAAAAGTGCTTCACAACTGGTCGAGAAATTCTCTGAAGGACGTTCGAAAGTCGCAGATGGCAGGTCACCCTGTTGGATTGCGATAGACTCAACTGTGCAGCGGGTGGAAGAATTGATTGGAGCTGACGGGCGGATAGCGATAGACAGTGTATCAACTGCACTAAGGTGTGCCCATGGTTTAGCACACAACACAATGCGCGATCGTTTGAAGCTTCGGAAAGTGTGCGCACGGTGGGTACCCAGAGAACTGAAGGATCGAGAAGAAATTAATGAGCCGAATGGATCTGTCCTTGAAAAATCTCACGGTATGCAGACGAAGGATAAGATATACTGAACAGGATTGTTACTGGGGACGAATCATGGGTGCATCACTAGCAGCTCTAATCAAAGCGTGCTTCAGTGCAATGGAAACATCCCAATTCACCTTCAACCAAAAAGTTTAAGGTTACGCCATTAGCTGGGAACGTTATGCATACCGCGATTTTGGATTTTCAGGGAATACTCATAGCTCGTTCCCAGAAGAGTGGTGAAAATGTGAATTCTGCAGCGTACCGCGAAGTTCTGTTGAAGCTACGGGATTCAACTCGCAGAAACGTCCAGGCCAGCTGGCAAGAGGGGACTGCTTCTTCATGACAATGCCAGACCCCACACAGCACGAGCAACCCAAGAGAGAATTACACAACTACAATGGAGACTTGGCCCCTAGTGACCTCAATCTGTTTCGTCCAATAAAAACAACATTGGCCGCAAACGTTTCGCTGATGACGAAGGAGTTGAAATGAAGGCGCAGAAGTGGCTGAGACAACAGTCAAAAGATTTCCAAGAGTATGCTGCAGGTTTCGACGCATTGGTAAAGCGATGGGACACGTGGAGGTGGAGGATATGTCGAAAAATAAGTGTTTTTTTCCTTGTTCGAATATCACATGTTTTGCGTTTTATATAGATTTGTGACTTATTTGCTGACTCTTCCTCGTGTATAGCAGGCATCACGTGCCGAAATTCTGGGAGACTTCTACAGTTTCAGTTCTGTTTTTTAGTAGGTCTATCTGCATCTATAGGCAAACCATCTTTTATACAGGCCCTTCTTGTACTGGAATGTAAGGATTGCGACGCATTCATATATGTATATATAACAAGTTAAAGCACATATACGTAACTTGTATCTGAATGTAGACTAGAAATTAAAATCAACCGTCCAGCAGACACAGAGCCCAAAATTCCTATAACGTTTAAATTATCCAGACCCAGTTTGTTCATATTGTAACGTGTGCCATGAGTAATTCAGATGAGAGCGAGGTCTTGGTGAGGACGTGACGTGCGTCGAGTCCATTTAACTCCACACCTCGGAATTCAGATGCCGCTACTGCATGTTTCCCCCCCTCCATATTCCAATTGCATCAACCTGGCCTTACGTTGCCAGCAGACTGAATCAGGAGTCGCTCGCTAGAGGGCGAGCAGGCTCGTTACGTGTCTCCATTCTGTAAGACGTTTGGAGAAGTTACACGGATGAAAACGAGAGGGCAGTACGAAGCGCACACTCAAGAGACTCGTCATCTATCGTATTCTGAAGGTGCCGTGCCCGGGGACTTGCTTATTCTGGCGTTCTTCAGCTCTTCCAAGCAAATGGTGGGACGGCACTATGAAGCGGGTTGGGTTCGCGTTCTTCCACATAATCTGCAGTTCGTTCAGTGTCATCGTACCTCTGCTGTTAAAAGCGCCATGAAACCGATCCTGGAATCTCTTTATGCAGATGCAGGTGCGAAGAAAACGAATAGAAATTGAAATTTGTTAGTCTATTTAATTAACTCTTCAAACTCTTCAAACAGCACAAGCAACACAGCACGCATACGAACCACACCGTTAATAACAAGAACACACCATCAAGGGATAGACGACAATTCCTCCACTAAGGAAGATAAAACCAACCCGCATTGGTTCACGAATAAAATTATTATCTTAAAATAAGTTTATACACACATTCATAAACATAATTTTAACGCAAGGAAGGCTGCTGTGGTGAAACAAATAGAATTTTTATATAAAATACAGTGGAACATTTTTAATTATCCATTAGGGAAGTGATTGCAACTACGCCACTTCTAAGTAATACAATTCGAAAACGTTCTTATTAAAAAAATTTACGTCAACGTCTGTACGACAAAAATCTGCAACTACATATAGTGAGCATCGTAAATGTTTTAAGTGTTTCTACTCTTAAAAACTTTTACGTATTAGTAGATTCCTGGTCGTAGAGGCATACCTCTGATGATGATTCATTATGAATCGAAACATGTTGGGTAACTAAGTGCTGAAGTGGTGGAAGCATTATATGTCACATTGGACTGAAATAAACTTAATTGTGAACCTGTTAGTGTGACGGACCAGAATGAAACAAATTAATTTTTTTTAATTTTTATTTAACAGGACAGTTTCTTCCCTTTTCAGTGGGGTGAGAATTAGTCCACTTGGTACTTCGGCCACTAACTGGTCTATTGTACCAGCCCCAGATGATAGATGATGATGATTGTGGAGCAGTTGGTGGGATGCTAATTGTCAGGGGAAACCAAAGTACTCGGAGAAAACCTGTCCCAGTTCCACTTAGTCCACCATAAATCCCACATGACCTGGGATCGAAGCAGGGCCGCCGCGTTGGGATGCCGGAGACTAACCTCTTGGGCTATGGAACGGCCTGTTTAATTTGATTAAGCCGGTCACGGTAGCCGAGCGGTCTAAGACATGCACTGTCTTCGCTCGCTCGGAAGCCGAGATCGTGGGTTCGAATCCCACTCAGGGCATGGATGTTTGTGTGAGTTTTTCTGTGTTTGTGTACAGGTAGAGGCCTTGCGACGAGCTGATCAC